TAGTGCGCGTGGAAAGGTTACCTCGGCCCTCCATAGAGGACATCCAAATCCTCCTCGTAGAGGTCAACCGTCCTGAATGGACCCCATCATCGACCACCTACTGACGGGGAGGCTACCCGATGACAGGAACGAAGCCAAAAGACTCCGATGTCAAGTAGCACACTACACCCTACTAGAGGGTAAATTGTACAGGAGATCCTTCACCTTGCCTTACCTCTGATGCCTCCGCCAGGAGGAGGGTGAGTACGTGCTCTGGGAAATTCACGAAGGCATCTGTGGCAACCACCTCGGTTGTCAAGCCCTACCCCAGAAAACATTAAGGCAAGGGTACTTTTGGTTGACCCTTCACAAGGACGTAGCCGAGCTGATGCGGAAGTGTGACCAATGGCAGAGACATGCCAACCTCTGCCATCAACCAGCCACCACCCTCTCACCCTCAACAGCCCCTAGCCCTTTGCCAAGTGGGGGATGGACCTCCTCGGCCCCTTTCCTCAGGCAACGGGGGGCCGGAAGTACCTCGTCATTGCTATGGATTACTTCACCAAGTGGGTGGAGGCCGAAACCCTCGCCACTATTACTACGCGGGCAATTCAAAACTTCTTTTAAAATAACATTATTTGCCGCTTCGGCCTCCCCCACATGCTGGTTACAGACAACGGAAAGCAATTCAATGACACTAAATTCCGAGAATGATGCACCTCTCACAGCATCAGACAACATTACACATTGGTAGGCTACCCCCAGACGAACAATCTCACCGAGGTTACGAACAGAACCATCTTGGATAGAATAAAGACCAGGTTGGATAGAGCCAAAGGCCTATAGGCTAACGAACTACATAGTGTTCTCTAGGCATACCGAACCACACCTCAGACCCTGTTTGGCCTAACCTACGGTACGAAAGCAGTGATTCCAGCAAAGATCGACCAACCAACACTTTGCATCGAAGGGTATAATGAGGCCGAGAATGACGAGCCACTCAATGCAAACTTAGATATGCTGGAAGAATCCCAAGAACAAGCACAAATTAGAGTGACTGCCTATCAGCAGCGAGTGACCCGCTACTATAACTCCAAGGTGAAAGAAAGGTGCTATAAAGAATGAGACCTTGTCCTCAGTAAGGTCATAGTCCCCAGTCCCTGAACCTGGAGTAAGAAAGCTGGGTCCCAACTAGGAAGGCCCCTACCGGATTAAGCAAGCGCTCGACCCCAGTACATTTCGGTTGGAAAATTTAGATGGAAGATCCGCCCCTTGGAGGTGGAACTCGAAGAACCTCCGGATGTATTACATATGAATGTAATTTTTTTATGAAGCAATGAATGAATGAAACAAAGTTCCTCTTCGGCTCAATGCTTAGTGTGTGTTCCCACCAGGACTCTAAGACCCCTTGGCTTCATGACTAGCCGAGGTGCATGGCCTCTCCTGAGGACCACACCCTCTTGTCGGACCGTCGCCAGGGGTATATTACTAATGGCGAGCATCCTAACACCCTGCCTAGCCAAAATTGCCCAAGATGGCCGAGGCCTCGCAAGCCTCATGGCCCGCCTTGGCAGACGATGGTCTCTTGGTCCCATACACTTAGCACAATCAACTAAAGGCGGCAGCCCTGACATGCTCGAGGGTTTGCCTCAGCCCGAGACCCTGACCTCCTCAGAGCGTCACCTCGGTTTTGTCAACATAACCGCTTGGAGAGAAACCAGGCAGGCATTGGCCCATCCTCGGCTCCTCCCCCACAGCTTGACAAGCCACCTCGGCCTTGCCTAAACAATCATTGGAGAAAGGGAGCCAAGTGAGCTTCGGCCTCTCCCCCGCACTTCACTAGGCCACCTTTGCCTTGCCTAAGTGAACACTTGGAAGGAATTAGGCTAGGTAATCAACACTTCGGTCGTGCATCTCTACCTCAACCTTTCCCTCCCAACAACCTAAGGCGTGTGTGTAGCGAGCCAACATAAGATACTTTTTGTGTGTGTGCATTGTGGTCTTGTTGTTGGGAGGCGCAGGGACCCCTCGGCAAAAAAAAATGAGAAAGGGAGAAAGAAAAGAACACATTGCACAAGAACAAAAAGAGGCACTGTATGCAAAAAGAATGCTCGGTTTTGTCATTACACTTCATCAAATTTTTAGCCTTTACAAAAAGCTTAGCAGCCTCTCAGGCCGATCACATGTACACCAAAAAAAAAGGAGGGGGGGGGGAAGAAAACTCCATTAAGCCTTGCCACCTTCCAGGGGAGGGGCCTCATTAGCCTCCTCGGGAGTATCTGGGATCACCTTCAGCGTCTCGACGTCGAAGTCAGGCAACATCTCCTTGAGGACCTTCTTGGTGTCCTCGATCCCATCCAGGTACATCCCATATGCATAATTGTCAAGCTCCTCCGCAGTGCCTCAATAGCCTTTCCTTTAGCCTCAACCACCTTCTTCTCAGCCTCGGCTTCCCGCTTGAGTGCCTCAACGGTCTTCCCTTCAGCTTCGACTAACCCCTTCGCCATCTCGGCTGCCTTTCTCTCAACTTCGGCTGCTTGCTTCTTGGTCTCAACAGCGCACCCCTCGGCATGGGTCGCCCGCCGCTAGGCGGACCCTCTCCTCTTGCTCCTTAGAGAGGTTCTTCTGCACCTCCTTCAGCTTCCCCTCGAGGCGCTCCCGAACAGCCTACTCGTCCTTTAATCCCTTCTTGAACTTTTGAAACTTCTCATCAGCAGTGGCGACAACCTTCTTGAGCTTCTCCTTCTCATCCTTCAGTGTCTCCTTTTCCTTCTCAAGTTTCTCCATACGGGTCAGGTTGAGGCTCATCCTTCAGTGTTGAATTTGATCTGAAACTGTTCATGTCGGATCCGATTGGATCTGATAGGACTCGATTTGAATTTGAATCCTATCAGTAAGTCGAATCTTTGAATTTGATCCGATCCAATTTGTTTTCTTTAAAAATTAGTAAATTATTAAAAAAAATAAAATATACTAATTTAAATAAAATAAAAACAAAAAATACAAATATTTTTTTAATTATTTTCATCATATATACATGTTTTTATAAAAAATAAATAAAATAACAAATTTATAAAAATATAATATAAAAAATATATTTATAAATAAATAAACAACATATATATATATTAATATATTTATAAATATATAATATATATTGAATCGAATCTTCTCACATTAGATAGGGATGATGCGAATCGACCAAATAGGATCGGATCCGATCCATTTGCACCTTCTCAAAACCAAGAAATCCCTCCAAAAATAAGCGCCATTGAATGCAACGAGCACATGGTATTCTTTAATAAAAGGTAAAAGAATAATTCGCTCTCTGTTTACTATTGTTTTTTTTCTTTTTTTTCACACTAAGACTGAGTTGATTTTAGTTTCCTAAGGCATCCTACAAACAGGAAGCAGCACTCGACCACTTTCTAGACAAAAGCCACAAGTGATTAGTTTGTTATTTCTGAACCAATGAATCAATGTCGCAGTGAGCTTTCTAAATCCTTTTCTCTCTGACAAACCAAACACTACTTCAAGATTTTTTTGGATAAATTGCTGAAACTTCTCTTGAAGCTTCCGAGCATTGTTGAAACTTTCCTTAAAACTTGGTAATTGTAATCACTTCTTCTAAACTTTTTGATACAGTTGCAAATAGACTTATATTAAAATTTTGAGATCGATTTCAGTCGGTGCAAGACCTGTTTGAACACTGTTTGAATAGCCCTTACAGCCTTGCATTGGGAATACCTGTATATTTATGTACCTTATTTCATGGGGAGATATTTCCAATACAAGGCCATAAAGGCTGTTCGTATGTGCCTTGCATTGACTGAAGTCGAGTTCTAAAATCTTTTAATAAGAGGCACAAAATATCCAAAATACTCTTACAGTTACTACTGAAGCTGGTTTTACAAAAACAAAAAAAAGAAAAATACAAACTTTATGAAGAAATAAAAAAAATTAAGAATTTAAAATCATGGCTTTACCATTAAGCAATTATATAAAGGGTAAATTTGAAAAATAAATCAGTTTCAGAAAAGAGATCGAAATGGTTTGCCAGTAATATGAAAAAAAAAACTTAAACATTTTAGTAAAAAGTAACTTCATGAATATTTTAAAAATTTACCAAAGTTTTAATAGGTAAATTGATTGAATGAACTCATTAAGATGAAACCCACTTCCCCAAATCCCTTATTTCAGCAAAAAGAGAAAAGAGTTCTCCATCAAAATTTTGCTCTAAGAATGATTGAATAAGCATCATTTAATCTAAAAATCAACCATTGATCCAATAAGCTATGTTTGGTCTGAACAACTTTCTGTTTCTCTCTGATTTTTCTATCAAACCAAAGACAGCCATTAGGGTCTAACGACACTCCTTTGAGTTATGAAGCAGTCTCATAAGCATGGATTTGGTTCTAGAGATGGGATGATTCTGAGTTGTGAGTGACATCAGAATGTTGGGAGTAAAATAACATAAAACAACAGAGAGCACTGAACCCAGACGAAAGAATTGGATGGTTGTAGCTATCTCAGACATATTCTGTGTACTAAGATCAATTATATGACCAACCTTTTATCCCCCACCGTCCGAAACAAATCATCATTTTATTATTGCATGATTCCCAAGTATAAAGTATTCCTTTCTTCTTTCCCCCTTCATCTTTTTGGCCCTTTCTAATTTCCCCATTTGGACGGCCCAGAAAAAATCAGGCCCCCTGCCCCACCCAAACTAGCAATTTGACTGAGAACAACAACCGTTGGATTGGAAACAATCATGGACCCACTTATTTTTGGATTGCTTAATCAGTAAATCTCCAGTCTCCGCTGGTCACTGGGTAGTGGATTTAGAATTGTCTACGTCAGCCCTACCGAGAAACCTGGTTTAAATGGGTCTCGGATCCAACGGTTTTCAAGTTTAAACTGCTCATTCGTGTTTACCCAAAATAAGTATTTTATGCCTGGAAAGCTGTAGAATGACAAAACACGAAAGCTGCTTACGTGTTCGATAGAAAGTCTCAAAGAAGAGAGCGCCTATTCTTTTGTTAATCGGTTGCCCTTTTTCATGCCATACAAACTATGCATTCAAAGAACAATAACAGACGACCGACCTACCATCGCCCCCACAAAACCGCGCCCTGGACGGATCGACCTAACTGGAAAGAGAGAGAGAGAACAACTCAGAGACACAGGAGGCCTTAACCCTAATCCTAATCCTAACCCAATAACAGCAAAATAAAAGGGCGCAGGGCTCAAAGAGAGCATCACCAATTTCTCTTTTTTTTTTTTTCTGACTCCCTCAACTTGTTTTCTTCTCTCTTTTTGGCTAGCTCTCTGCAAGCCTTTCCCCCCAAACTTACCTGCGAGAACTCCGTCCCTGGGGATTGTGAATGGTGGAAGCCGTCGGTAATTTAATGCTTTTCGCTTCTCCTGCGAGGGCAACCGCGCGTATCCCATCCGCGCAGTTCTCCTCCTCTGTCTCGAACGACTCCGCTCTCTTCCTTCACCAGATCCTCGCTTTCTCCTTCGGCTCCTGCAAGGAAGGCTGGTACTACCGCTGCCTCGGCGTTGATCCCTGAACCAGTTGCCTCTTCCCACCACCCACCGGCCACCACCTTCTCCCATCTTTCCTCCTTTTTTTTTCTGATTATTTCGATTGATCGATTTCGTTGATTGTTGTTTCATCCTTTTTCATCATTCGATAAGAGAAATCAGTAAAAAATACAAAGATATTAAAAACATGTTGCTACAGAAGCCGAAGAAGAACGCCAAGGGCAACCGCCTCTTGATCAGCGTTAACGTTCTCGGCAGCGCCGGGCCTCTCCGGTTCCTCGTTAATGATGAAGAGCTTGTTGCCGCGGTTATCGACACCGCCCTCAAATCCTACGCTCGTGAGGGCCGGCTCCCTGTTCTCGGATCAGATCTCAACAACTTCCTCCTGTACTCCGCCAATGCCGGCACAGATGGTAAGTAATTCGAGATTTTCCAATTGAATTGTTTGTTTATTTTTTCTTCTATCTTTCTGGGTTTTAAAAAAATTTGTTGTTCTGTCTGCAGCTTTGAGTCCCTGGGAAACGATTGGATCTCGCGGTGGAAGAAACTTCGTGCTATGCAAGAAGCCGCAGGCGCAGCCACAGCAGCCCCAGCAGCCCCAGCCCCAGTTGCAGACGACGAACGGAGACGGGCAATTGACCATGATAGCAAGAAAGGGGAGCGGCAGCTGGAAGGCATGGCTTAACAAGTCCCTGAATCTGAAGATATCTTCTCATTGAATTGAACTGAACTCAATTGGTCTCTAGAAAGGGAAAAAAAACTTGTTTTTTATCTAGTAAGGTCAGTCTTTGACTCTTTGTTTCTGGGTTTCATTCAGCTGTTTAGGGGTTCCATTGGACTAAGATCACCCTTGATTGTTATGTTCCGATTTCCTTTCGTCTGTTTGGTTCTTGGGCAGAGAACAAGACTGATCTCCATGCCCATGAATAAAAGTTCTATGCTTTTCAGAGATTGAATAAAGATAGAGATCATTTTATTCTGCAAATCCCCATTTTTTTTCACTATGCAAAAATTTCTTCTTTTGAATTGGGCAATTGATCGTCAAGTCGTTGCAGTCGTAACGATTGCGTGTAAAGAAGTTTGATTTTAGGGTTTCGTTGGGTAGTTGGGGACAGGCGTACGAAGATGCCATGAGCATGAAGAGCCAGAGTCACCATAGCAGCAATTTACCATCGCTGTGGCTGCCTACAAATTAGGGCACGTGGATGGCTTTTTAATGCAGATTTATTACAAGAATTAATTATTATTTACTTAAATGTTTGTAAAAACAATAATTCATTAATTAATTAATCTCATAATAAATTAGGAGGTAATTAGATGGATTTATCATGGCTATTTGGTCTTTGGCCGAGTAAATCCTAGTTTAATCTGGTATGGGTTCGTTAGTGGGCTGAGCTCCAGCTGAGGAGTTTAGCTCGCGGGATTATTAGGGATTAGAATTTAGGGCTCAATTGAGTTGGAAATCAAAACCCATTTTGGAATTTTCAAGCATCCAATCCAGCCCAATTCACCTAGCCACGTCACTTTACAATCTAGTGGGTATCTGTGGATTGCTTGGTGAATCGGTTATCATGAATGCTAAGGCTGCATTTGGCATTCCTTAGCATTCATAGAGGCATTTTAATAGCAAAAAGGAGATAAGTGCCAAATGCATCCTAAACCCATTAGGTGTTGTCAATAGGCAAAATACTCTTCTTCCACGTCAAAAATGTTGTAGATCAATGGATGGATTGGATGAACAAATAAGACATATTGGATTGGATTAATCCAATTAAAAATATTTAGTAGATTGGATTGGACCTGATCCATTTGTAATAAATTTATATTGGATTACGTTGATACGTGTTAATGGATTAGGTTTGAGTTGAAACTAATCTAATCGATTCATATATTAAATTGGACTAATTCAAAATATTCATTGAATTGAACCTTTTAAAATATTATTAGATTGAATTGTACCCGATCCATTTCTAATGGATTTACATTAGACTGGATCGGATTAGAGTTCAATTGACACCCCTATTGACAATGCATCCACGCCACTGTACAGAATACTTTTATATGGAACGCGATGTGGTTCAAATCATATGATTTTAATATATTACAGTGGGAGTGGGGTCCAGTAAATTTAAACTCGCTGCAGTATCAAATACTCCTTTAATTAGATAACTATTATTATAGGAAGAATACAAATTTATACTTGCTATTTGTTGCAGCAGTAAAGAATTGGGACCTACATGCATTTACAGGTTGTTTGGTTTGGTTTACGTTTATTCCGTAAACATTTTCCAAGAAACACACGAGGGCGTTTATGAAGCTCTAAAATAAATGCTTACCCATTTTATGAAGCCCTAAAATAAAACTTCCTAGAACATGAGAGGTGTACAAACAAAATTCAATGCAGACAAATGCAATTAATGAGGCATTTGCTGACGGGGCGCTTATGTGGCATCGTCAATAAATGTTTACTCGATAAACTTAAACGGAATCAAACATATACTTAGAGAGGGGGGGGAGATACCCAGCAAATTGCAAGAGTGACTCAAACCAATTTCCAACTGACAACCTGAAACAAGGTAGGTGTTTGGCATTTTACAAGCCTTCAGTCAGGGTGAGCAAAAAAAACTGGAAAATCAAATCGACCGAAACCGAATCAAAAAATCTGTTAATCAAAAGTTTCGGTTAATCATCTAAAAAACTAGTGGTTAATCGAACCGACCGATATATATTTTTATATAATATTATATTTTCTTTTTAAAAAAATCAAATAAAAATGTTCAACGGTCTGAGAGTGTTTAGACTACCGAACTGAGAGTTGAGATAGGTTCTCCAGTTTGGCACCCGCTGGCTGACAGCCTGAGTCGTCTAACAGATTGACACCCGCTAGCCGCTACGCAGGCCTTTCTTTTACTTTCCCTCTCTCTATCAGACTCTCACTCTCTCATACTCCCCCTCTCTCTCTCTCTCTCTCTCTCTCTCGCCTCTCAGTCTCTCTCTGAACTCTCTCTCTCGCCTCTTAGTCTCTCTCTGAACTCTCTCTCTCTCTCGCCTCTCAGTCTCTCTACGAACTCTCTCTCTTTCGCCTCTCAATCTCTCTCGCCTCTTAGTCTCTCTTTGAACTCTCTCTCGCCTCTCAGATTCTCTCTGATGGATTAAAAGTGGGAAAAAAAGGGAAAGAAATGAATTCAATTTTGTATAGATGAAAGAAATATTCTCTAGATGCCTTCTCTTTGTATATTATTTATAGGGAAAAACCATCCACTTTCCTTCCTCCCTGTCTGCTGGGACCTATAGGAAGGAAGCTAGTCAATGGTCAGTAGGTCAGAGGGTAATGTGGGATTGGATCCCAAGTTTCGGGCCCAGACTTGGGTACTAAGCATCTTCAGAGTCAGAGCGGAATAATAATCCATATTTAACAAAAGGAATTCCATGAATTTGGCCATGCTAACCTCTTTAAATTATAACAACCAACTCATGAATTTGGTCACTGTCCCTTAAATTTTTCTTTTTCCTGAAAAAATAGGTTTTATGAGCACGTGTTATATGAAAGCTCTTTCCTTTCATATTTCTTATCTATCTATCTATCTATCTAGATACAGTTAGAAAGAGAGAGAGCGCTTTTTGTTGGTTGGTCCTGATGCTCTCAGTCATTATTGAAGTTTCAGGGTTGCACCGGTGACCGGTGATCTTTCTGGGTCCTGTTAATTGATGATTTTTAGTCTCCAAGAGTTAGCTCTTAAAACCATGACCTAGTAGTTCCAGTGAGCATTGAGCATTCCGGTTCTGTTTGGTCCAACCCAATTGTCTTATAACAATTTAGCAACCCCAGAGAATTGTGAATACGTCACCGCTAGAAATTAAAAATTCAACTGACGTGATGTGTTGAGTGAAGGTCAGTCCTCCCTCAAAATTCTTAATGCGTTTCATACAGTTGGGATCAGTATAAGGGAAAAATGGTGAATTGTATATATACGAGTGTGCGTAAATACATTTGAGAAACCAATAAAGCAATTCTATAGGAGATTGAACTCTAAACAGGCCTCGAGAATTTATTGCAAATAATGATGTGTTCGTTTTTCACTAAAAGTGGCTGAATTGTTCTACTTACGACCGTGGTCGGGGGCTTGAGAGGTGATTTGGAGACTTGTTTCCACCACCTTAATTTCCATTTCCATGTGAGTCTGCCTTAAATCTCGGTGGCCTGACTCTCTTGACTTTTTTACTAAAATCAAAATACTCAACTCCCTCTTTCTACAATCACGTGCTTTGGATGTCAGACCGGTCAACCATCTGGCCTACTGCCATTGGTTTAACAGTTCAATCAGTTGGTTGCCCATCCGAGATCGGCTTCGGTCAGGGCAAGCCTATGCTCAAACCGTCCCAATAGCCTCTTGGAACCTTGCATCAGGAGTACCTTCCTATCAAAATAAAGCACGAGTGTGAAGATATTTTTATTGCAAGGCTGTAAAGGCTATTCGAACAGGTGTTGCCCTGATGAAAGTCGAGCTCTGCCCATTCACATTAGTTGAAACATCGCTCAAAGGTTGAAACTTGACACTTGAGGGCTTGAGAAGTGAAGACAAATAAAACTTGAGTGTCATTTGGCAAGTCTTTTTAGAAAGATCTTCTATTAGTTCAGATGGATAAAAGATATATTGAGCTTTTGGGGACTTGTCTTTAAAAATGATGACCGTTTAGTGAATGATTCGATCTACAAGGCTTTTAAAATGCATTTAGAATTTATATATCATGCAAAAAGACCATAAAGTTTTATTTGAAACTTCTCGAAATTCAACATTTTTTATCTTTTTGGGCCTTTCTTCACACGTCTTCTCATCTTTCTAGCTTTAGATTATCAAATGGAAAAAGATCGATTTTCAACCTTTCAAACTTGCCGAAGCCCGGAAGACAGCAAAAGAAGACTTGCCAAACACACAGCCCTAATTTAGTTTGATTTAGTAGGTCCAGTCAGCTCTCCCCAGAGTCTGGCTGGTCCTTGGTGCAGGGTGGGTGGGTGGATGGATACTCCACCCTAATGGCCGTACCAGAACTTGATCTAATATAGAAATTGCTTCTATTTTAATCAAACCCATATTTTGGGATCCAATGGAGAATTCCTTTCCCCACTTCTACACATGGGATAGTAGGGTTGTTGCATCCAAGGAAAGATTTTGGCTATTTTAAAAGACAGCCCAAGCTGTTTGGGAGCTTTCTGTGCATGACACGGCGTCCGGTGAGAGAAGATATACCCCCAATATTCCTCTAGTCTGCTGCTTACATCGCTGTGTATCACTTGTTAGTTAACAAATCAAAGTGAACACACCAGTGTTCTGTACATGAGAATATCGGTCCCATATGTATAGAATAGTGGCGTGTTCACTTGTGATTGGTAATGTAGCGAATGATACACAGTGGATTGAGTGGGTAACGCATCATACGGATAAAGCTTCTAAAAAGCCAAAATTTCCTCTCAAATTCAGCTTTTTCAGCAGGTACTTATTAGCAGATGACCACAAATTTTCTGTGGGTATGGCTAATAGTGCTGGGATTTACGTATGAGTAGTTGAATCATATTTGAAAGGAATGAAAGATACAAGGTAATTAAATACAAGAGTAGCCTTAAGTTTTTGAAGTGTATGTGGTGTCATTTTCTTGTCCTATGTGTACGAGCCCCCAGTTTTCACAAATCTCCTTCAAATTCATAATAAATAGGCTCAGATGCACTTTGCAGTGCCCCACCCCAATTCCCTTATATTGTCTAAAGTAGCGTTCGGTAGTGTATAAATATCAAGAATGAGATCATTTGGGTCATGTCTATAGTAAGATATGGTGTTTTGCTATGTGTGGTAAGTCCTCGTCCACAAAATAGTATGAACAGAGACAAAATACACCCCAATTTATCATTCACTGTATTTTCTCGTAGATGGTCCACACTATGGTGTGGATAGCTTGTGGGAAGGTTTTAGCATGGTTTTTAAAACCAAA